CGTGGCTGCAATCCACAGTTTCTTGTGAAATGCTTACTCGAGTGATTAGGATGCAAAAGTTCTTGGATCCTATGAGGCAAGATCCATGCATATTTTCAATAGCACACCAATGTCAAGCAGTGCCAACTTTGATCAGAGTTGTCCCACTCACCTGGGAAATTGCAAGAACTTTGTGTCTGAACTTCTTCTTAGCTTAATCAAATAGCTTAATCAATGGGAAATTCAAATTTGTTTCGAAACAAGAGGTTGAAACCTTGTTGCTATGTTATGAAGCTCGTTTTGATCCTTTTTGCAAGCAAACTATTGTAGCTATAAGTATGAATCTCACAGTATCTTCTACAACATGTCGACGTTGAATACCACACTGGTATCCACGTCCAATGATACTTCCTGTCCTCAAGTGAGCTTAACTCAACCCGCACCTCCAAATTCTGATAATTTTGTTATGTTGTCCTACAACTCTCGAGGTGAAGGTGGCCGATATAGCTGTGGTTGTCGTGGTAACCCTGTTCAGAGCCAAGTATGCCAAAAAAATATGACCACAATGCCTCGATCTCGTATCACCACTTCAAAAAAAAGAAGTTGGTTCTATCAGACTATGTTTCTTCAACACCTTTGGAGAACTTGTGTACCTCAAAGTACATCACAGTCCAGAGCTCTGTTACCACAAGCATACTCCGCTCCTATGACATGGCATTATTCAATTTGGAGCCTACTTTGGTCCATAACGCCATGTTGTGTTTCCCTCCATGTCACTGCCTGCTAAGATGCTACATATGATACTTATGCCCATCTCCACACACTTACTCTACTCCCATGGCACCTCAAAACAAACCTCAAGCTTTGCTTGCTATTGAATATTCTCTATTTATTAGTTGAATATTCTCTATTCATTATATTCAACACTTGCCAACACCAATGTTGGTTCTTCTGTGAGTCAGTACCCTGATTCAAGTGATTCTCATCATGTCACCTCCAATGGCCTCAACGTTCATCAACAATCTCCAATAGGCCATGCAAGATCTTTATTGGCAATGGCCAAGTCTTGTCTGTTTCCTCTATAAGTTCAACTACTTCCACGTCTCCATTTAACCATTAGTTCACACTCACTCTACACAATCTCCTTCAAGTATCTATTATCACAAGGCAATTAGTAAATGACAAGTAATTAGTTAAGGATAATATTGTTTTCTTCAAGTTCCATCCTAACATATATCTTGTCTCCATTTAACCATTAGTTCACACTCACTCTACACAATCTCCTTCAAGTATCTATTATCACAAGGCAATTAGTAAATGACAAGTAATTTGTTAAGGATAATATTGTTTTCTTCAAGTTCCATCCTAACATATATTTTGTGAAATTTCATATTACAACAACAACCAACAACAACCAAGCATTATCCCACTAACTGGGATCGGCTACACGGATCAACTTTACCCATAATGTTCTATCCATAATCATGTTTCTATCCAAATTGTTAATCTCGAGATCTTTCCTAATAACTTCTCTTGTAATTTTTCAAGGTCTTCTTCTACATCTAGTTGTATGACTTCTCTTCATCTGATCTATTCTCTTTACCACAGAATCTACAGATCTTCTCTCTGCATGCTCAAACCACCTAAGTCTATTTTCCACCATCTTTTCTACTATCGGTGATACTCCAACACTTTCTCTAATATTGTCATTTATAATCTTATCATGTCTAGCCTTACCACACATTCAATGCAACATCTTCATCTCTGTTATACTTACTTTATTCTCATGTTGATTCTTAACTGCTCAACATTCTGACTCGTACAACATCGCAGGTCTTATTGTAGTCGGATAAAAATTTCCCTTCAACTTGAGTGGTACCTTTATGTCACATAAAACCCTTGAAGCCCTCCTCTATTTCAGCAACACAATTTGAATTTGATGGTTTACATCCCTTTTTATTTCTCCATCGTTTTGTATTATGAATCCAAGATATTTAAACAGCGTGACTTGTGGGATGATATGGTCTCCAACTTTTACCTCTAGGTTAGAAAGACTTCTCCTTTTGTTGAACTCACATTCCATATACTCCGTCATGCTTCTGCTTAGGCGAAAGTCATGTGTTTCTAAAGCTTGTCTCCAAGTCTCCAACCTCTAATTTAAATCCTCCTTCGACTCGCCAAATAGACTCTTCAAGAAGAACTATATCACCGGCAAAAAGCATGCATCTTGATTCTATCTCTCGAATATGTTTCATGAGTACATCTAAAATCAAAGTAAAAAGATAGGGGCTTAGGATTGAACATTGATGCAAACTTATTGTAATGGAGAAATTGTCTACCTCTCCACCTTGTATTCACACAGTAGTCGATACCCCTTCATATATATCTTGCATAGCTCAAATATATGCAATTCTAACCTCTTTCTTCTCTAGGATTTTCCACAAAATCTCTCTAGGCACGTTATCATACTCCTTCAAGTCAATAAAAATTAAATGTAAGTCTTGCCGGTCTATCCAATACTGCTCCATCACACATTGTAGTAAATAGATCGCTAACATGGACGACCTCCCATGTATACAACCAAATTGATTCTCAATGACTTAAATCTCTTTTCTTAGTCTCTGTTCAATCACTCTTTCTCATAATTTTATGGCATGACTCATAAGTTTTATCTCTCTATAATTTGCACAAATTTCCCTTTTAGCCAAGCTTGGAAGCGATGGCCTTTCCAGACTTAGTTCCACAGTCAACTACTCGTACTATAGCTGCTACTTTCAATTAATTATGTTTGTAGCATTTTTGTCATCCGTGTGTGGATGTCCATAGGACTATACTTAACGGTTGCAATTTTCTAATGAAAGAGCTCAAGATTTTTGCTCTTGTTGTTGTATAGGGAGGGCGCATAAGAATGACTCTTTGCCATATCTTCATGGTACGACTCATAGTTTAATCCACCTACAATTTTCACAATTTTGTATATCCCCCTTTATTCTTATAAATTGGAACTAAAGTATTTCTTCTTCGTTCATCCAACATTTGTTTAACCTCATAATTTTGTTAGAGTTTGATGAGTCACTCAATGTCTATCTCTAAGAATTTTCCACATTTCAATAGGTATGTTATCTAACCCAACCGCCTTATTGTTAATCATCCTTTTCAGCGCTTATTTTACCTCTTGTTTCTAAATCTGACGATAGTAATTATTGTACTCCCACCATACCCATACTGCACACCATCTCTCTCATATAACTAACCCCTAACTAGTTTATAAATAGTTCAATTCAATAGTAACTAAATCAGAATTTCAGAATATCACAGCAATACAAAGATATAGTTAAAGCTTCTCTCTATTCCTCCTTGGTTCCATGAGATTCATAGAACTCTAAAAGTGTATAACTGAAAAAACAACTAGGTTATGCTCTTATCATATTGGCTAATGCAAGCAATCTGAAAAGTTTCAATACAAATTACAAGCTTGGTTTGCGAATTCAAATTACAAACTAAATCATAACAAAAAGATTCTCAATCAACTATAAGCCTTTCTATAAATGCAAAATCATAAAATTAATGTTAATTTACATATAAGCAAACAAAATCCAAACTCCATAGATAAAGTTGCATAATGAAAATTGAAAAGTGAATTTCTACAAAATCTTTTCTCTAATTCATTACTAGCAAGGAGATATGGATAATCATAACCTAAATTGGATCCTCTCTTCAATATTCAATAACAAATAATTTATGTTCCTAATCATGATTCTAACCTAACACGGTAATATTTCAAAAACAGAAAGCAATAAACACCAGTACGCTAGGGTTTGAAACAGAAACAGTGATTAAATTTTTAAATAATCTCGTTTCTTGATGAAACAACAACAACAACAACAACAACTTGGAACAAGTAAGCAATCAGCAATCAGCAGAAGAAAACAAGAAAGCGATTGTAAAGTTTGTAAAAGAAGATTAGAGAATAAAAGAGGATCAAGCGAGAGGTACTGTACCGATGAGATCAGAAAATGCGTACAGAGTGGACGGAGAACGGCGGAGGGAAGAGGGGGGTCGACGGAGGAGATGAACAATGTGCACGCTCAGAGATTCCGGCTTCGTAACCAAACGTCAGACAGAGAACAAGTACAATAGGGGTAAAAAGTATTACAGGAAGGGATGGGGTTAAATATTACAACCAGTCTTTAGTGGAAGGCTTTTAGATTTAAGACTAATCTCATCTCTGTCTATGGTAAGAACGTTTTTTTATTTGGGTTCTCAAAAGTTCTTTTAGATGTCAAATTGAGGCATTTATCATTGTCGTCGTAGCACATTTCCTTTTCTTTATATTTTTCAAATGTCACAGCCTCTCAAACCATACAATGTTTTCAGATTATTTTAAAATTTTAAGTTTTTTAATACCAAAATCACTTTTAAAATAATTTATAAAAAGTTATAAGTGTTTAAATATAAGTAAGGGGGAGAGAGTTCAAGTTTGATATATATTTTTTAGATCGATGCATCGGATGGAATGAAGTTTCAATGCAAATTTGTTTTCCTTAAAAAATTAATATTTTTAGTGTTTTTTTTGTTTTCTTTTTGTTTAAAACATTAGTCATATTAGACGAGATATTTGTTCGTTAAGACCACCTCTAACGGTGGTTTTTCAGATTGGTTTGTCAGCTTGGTATTAAAATTGTCAATAAAAAAGTTGTTCCAGCTGATGAACGGTACAAATATAAGCAACGGCTTTTCGTATTTTTTTATTATTAAAATAATCAATTAGCCGTTGTGCAACGACTTTATTTTTTTATTTTTTTTAAACTTTTTTTATTTATTATAAATATAGGTTTGTTGGAAAATTGTATACCAATCCTATTTTCTCACTTTTATTTACTCTTTAATTTCAAATTTCTCTCTCACAATTTCATCATTTTGTTCATAAATTTTTAATTTTTTTCCCAACAATTTCTTCTCATTATCATTTTATTTCAAATTTTCATCTTTTTATTTCAAATTACATTTGTTTAGGCCAAATGGATCCTAATCATTTTCATTATCAACAAGCTATGTTCAATTTCATGCAAAATTATCAAAATCCTAATTCTCAAAATTCTCAAATTCCATCAGTACCACCAAACCCCGCCATATTTTCACCAAACAATCCAAATATGTATCAAAATTCTCAAGTTCCACCATTTTCTACTCAAGTTGGTGTTGAAAAAGAAGAAAGGGTTCTCGTTAAAAAAAAATCTCTAGAGCAATTTACAAGGGATGGGGATATATGTCTTATCCAATCATGGCTCAATGTTTCAAAGGATCCAATTGTGGGAGTTGATCAAAAAGCTGAGAGTTTTTGGCATAGAATCGCTGCAAATTATAACCAGTATCGCGGGCAATTGCGAGAAAAGTTAAGTGGTCAATTAAAATGTCGATGGCATCGAATAAATGCGTCGGTTCAAAAATTTGTTAGGTGTTATAGACAAGCTGTCAATGGAAAGAAAAGTGGGACATCGGAGAACGATATCATGGCTGTTGCACATGCTTTTTATGCTCAAGATCAAGGTACAACATTCAATCTTGAGTATGCATGGCGATTGTTAAAAGGTGAAGCTAAATGGGACATCATCGGAGAATCGATTGGAAATTCTTCAAAAATGACACAGACTTCTGCTAGTGGGGCATCATCGGAGATCCCTGATACACCTTCAAGTTATGAGTTTAACTCATCATCATCAATGGAGCGTCCAATGGAATAAAAAGCAGCAAAAAGGAAGGGTAAGGCAAAGGAAATTTCAAATGCAACGCAAGATGCAAGGAATAAAAGAGCAGAAACAATGGAAAGACTTGCGCAAAGTAAGGAGGACAAGATAGAATTAAAGGTAATGCAAATCATGATGAAAGACACTTCTACTATGAACGAAAGTCAACGAGATATTCATGAAAAATATTGTAATAAAATGAAGAAAAAAAATATGGACTGTAGTTAGTACCACTTTAAATTATATGTAAAATGGTCATTAGTACCACTTTAATTTATCAAATCCTATGTAAAATGGTCATTAGTACCACTTTAAATCATAATAAATATTATGTTGTTCAAACTAGCCGTTATTCAAACTAGCCGTTATGAATAACTAGCCTTTATGAATAACTAGCCTTTATTCAAACCATTATATATACTACCACTTATGTCATTGTTTTCTCATTCTCTTCTTATTCCTCACTAAAATGGATTCAGACAATTCAGATAATTACGATCAAGAATTTTGGGAGTTAGTTGAAGAAGAATTTATGGACGACAGTGATGAAGAACAACATCTTCAAAATGAATGTCAATTTGGAAGTTCCTCTAGGCCAAAGAGAAGAACTACGGTAGATCGAGGTCGTGAAGAAGGGCACAATCGGTTATTCAATGACTACATCTCAAAAAATCCAGTATACACAGATGTAAAATTCCGAAGAAGGTTCAGAATGCATAGGCATGTGTTTCTTCGAATTGTAGATGCCCTCGGCAATCATGATGAATATTTCCAAATGAGGGTCGATGCAACTGGTAAAATGGGTCTTTCACCATTGCAGAAATGCACATCTGCTATTCGTATGTTGGCATATGGGTCTCCCGCTGACATTGTAGACAAATATGTTCGAATCGGTGAAAGTACCTCAATTGAGTGCTTAGAAAGATTCGTTAAGGGTGTGAATGTTGTATTTGGGGTTGAGTATTTGAGAAAGCCTAACAACACTGATATTGAACATATTTTACAAATGGGTGAGTCACGTGGCTTTTCAGGTATGTTGGGTTCCATTGATTGTATGCACTGGGAATGGAAGAATTGTCCTGTTGCATGGAAAGGACAGTTTTGTCGAGGTGATCATGGTAAACCCACGATCATGCTTGAAGCAGTGGCATCACAAGACTTGTGGATTTGGTATGCATTTTTTGGTATTGCAGGTTCAAACAATGACATTAATGTGTTAAACCAATCCAATATGTTTAACGATATTTTGGAAGGACGTGCTGCTAATGTGCAATATACAATCAATGGAACTCCTTATAATATGGGGTATTATTTAGCGGATGGAATATATCCTGAGTGGGCTACATTTGTCAAAACTATTTCGATGCCACAAGGAGAAAAGAGAAAACTATTTGCACAACACCAAGAATCAGCTAGAAAGGATGTGGAACAGGCATTTGGAGTGCTTTAATCTCGTTTTGCAATAATACGTGGTCCAGCGCGTGCTTGGCACATGGAAACCCTCAAGCATACCATATATGCTTGCATCATATTGCACAACATGATTTTCGAAGACGAACGACACACATATAGAGGTGATTTTGATTACTCTTACGATAATGTCGGTAACAACAACTCAACGACTGAAACATTTAACGGTCCTCATCTGAATCTTGTAACAAGACTACAAAGAAGAGCAACTCTTCGTGAAAAACAAGTTCATCGCCAACTTCAAGGAGATCTAGTCGAGCATATTTGGGAACGTTTTGGACATGAGGACAATGGAAATTAAATTTGAGTAATTATATTATGTAATTTATTTTTATTGTTTTTAATTATATGTCATGTATTTGAGATTAATTTTAACTATCATTTTAAATTTTATGTTTAATTTTAATTTTATTTATTTTATATTAATTTAAATTTAAATAATTTAAATTATTATTTTAAATCAAATAAAATTTAGTATGAATAAAATATTAATATACAAAGTAAAATTGTGAGACCCAATATAAGTTCTTTAAAATTGCACCATTGGAGTAAAAAATAGAGTGAGTTGCTTCAAGATGATGTGGCTTAATGGGTCCCACAAAGAACCCAAATATGAGTAGCACCATTGGAGATGCTCTAAGAGTGATTAGTCAAATTTATAGTTGAAAAGTTAGAAACAAGATCACATGATATCAAGATCTCATTATTATTATTATTATTATTATTATTATTATTATTATTATTATTATTATTATTATTATTATTATTATTATTATTATTATTATTATTATTATTATTATTATTATTATTATTATTATTATTATTATTATTATTATTATTATTATTATTATTATTATTATTATTATTATTATTATTATTATTATTATTATTATTATTATTATTATTATTATTATTATTATTATTATTATTATTATTATTATTATTATTATTATTATTATTATTATTATTATTATTATTATTATTATTATTATTATTATTATTATTATTATTATTATTATTATTATTATTATTATTATTATTATTATTATTATTATTATTATTATTATTATTATTATTATTATTATTATTATTATTATTATTATTATTATTATTATTATTATTATTATTATTATTATTATTATTATTATTATTATTATTATTATTATTATTATTATTATTATTATTATTATTATTATTATTATTATTATTATTATTATTATCGTCATTATCATTAATTAGTGTGTATGGTTATTTGTTACGAGCACGGCTTAACACATATCTAGGTGAGAGACGGATCTTAAAATGAAGTATTTAAGTTAAATTAATGAGATATTACTGTGTTCATACGGGTATCGGTGTGCATACGGGTATCGGTGTGGTACGTTCGTTTATTTTAAATGATTTATTTTATATAAAAAATATTGAATAAAATAATAAATTTTTTATTTTAAAATTTTCAAAATAATGTTAGTAAATTAAATATGATAGTTAAATAAAAATATATGAAACAATAAATATAAAGATATGAAGGAAGGTTGATACGTGCATTAGTTTTCAAAATATAATGAAAATAAAATGATTTTTTTTAAAAGAGATAATAAATTGGTGTATATAATTATTTAAATATATACAAATATTTGAATATTTAAATCAGTAGTAAAGTTATTTTATTATTATTCAATATTTTTATCAGTAACTTCATATTTCCGTTATTATTCAATATTTTTATTAGTAATTTTATATTTCTGTTACTATTAAATATTTTGATCAGTAACTTCATCTTCCCGTTAATATTTAATATTTTGATCAATAACTCATCTTTCCGTTAATATTCAATATTTTGATCAGTAATTAAATATTTTCGTTAATATTCAATATTTTGATCAGTAATTTAATATTTTCGTTAATATTCAATATTTTGATCAATAACTTCATATTCATGTTAATATTCAATATTTTGATTAGTAACTCCATGTTCCCATTAATATTCAATATTTTGATCAATAACTTCATGTTCTGGTTAATATTCAATATCTTTATCAGTAACTTCATGTTTCCGTTAATATTCAATATTTATATTAGTAATTTCAATAGACTTTTAATATCTAACCGTTTGATATTTTTTAATCAGATCGAATGGTTAAATCTTTAAAAAAATAAGAGGGAATATGGTGGTCACTCAATAATATTGCACCATCTTAGACATTTAAAGTTAAAATTTAACAAAATGAACTAAATTGACTAACGAAATTAGATTTAGAGGACTAAAAATAGCATTTATTAACTAAATAAATTAAGTTAAAGAGCTAAATGTCTAATTAAGACAAATATAAATAGTTATATTTGTGCATTGTGTAGATTATCTTAATTGTGCATCTTAAAATAATACCTAGGAGATATGATTTGATTAGATTCAAACCTTGTTATACTTCATATATATTTCCCTATGATTACCGACTAAGTTGTATTGACATAATTATTGTTGTAGTAATTCAACTTTCCCTATGAATAAATAATAGATTTCTTCTACACAACAAATGCAAGTAGTGACGACCTCATTGCTTGTTTAGTTTCTATACTCTTATGGGATTTCTTATTTCAATCAATATCAATAATTATATTCGACAAAACTTAAGAGAAACAAAAAGCATGTACAAATGTTGAGGAAAAATAAATAAAACAAATTATTTATGTCTTCTATAATAATATACACAAAAAATCAACCTAGTTTGCTCTGATGATATATACTTTTCAAAGAAAAAACCGCACATTACACAAGGCCTCTCTGCTCACTACCTATTGTGACTAACATTTCATCGATATTCTTTAGGGATTTGAGGAATTATTTAATTAATTTATATGTAGTGACCAAATAAACAATCACAATGGCAACTCCTTTAGAATAATTTCGTAACTATTTGGTCCATAACCATGAATAAATTTCCAACAGTTGCAAAATTGTAAGGGTCCCTTTCTGCTTTTTATCGGTATTTTCTCCAAATAATCGCCAAATTTACTCCGCATTACACTAAGTCCACTCAATTAGCTTTCGGTTCTGCCTAAAATATTCCTTTTAAAAGGAGTTCTCGAGGAGCGTCACTAAGTGGAACTAAATCCATCTTCGTTGATCTCAATCAATCCTTGTAAATACTGTGTTGAATTGTAAGTGCTCCAATGAATATATCCTCCAACAGTATTCTAGTATGAGCTGATTTAAAAAAACTTTTGTTTTAGATTTGAGCTGCTATACACTGTGATACGGTGGGAGAACTGACTTGGGATTTTGCGTTTGTGTTCGCAAATGTTTCGGTTTAGTAAGAGTCGCCACCGACTTTTTATTTTATCCTAAGGAAAGGTCAAAAAGCACAGGAAAGACCTTTGAGATGTTTTCTTGGGTTCGGGGAGTAGATTATAGAAAGGGAAGGTATTAGCACCCTTTCTATCCATGGTTATCCATGGGCTCTTAGTTACTTGCTTAGATCATTTGCCTTGCTTTTCAACTGTTTGAAATGGTGCTTTGTGTATGA